CATGGCATTAATCTCACCTTTTGTTTCCTTGTGAATATACAATAGACCATGGCATATTTTGTGCACTCCAACACAATTTAGAATAGTCACAATCTGGTATTGTTTGTCTGGCCTTAATCTAAGAGAAGGACCACCATTGTACAGTTGCAGTACATTTATCATATAAATATAAATTTTTTATGTATCACTTAGTTAATGGCAATTTTATTGTGAAAACATTTATTTGCACAATAAAATCTAATATAACAATACATATTCATGGTTTATATTTGGAAACAAGGACATGCTTGAGAAGTGACAACTTTTGAATGCTGTAACTATTTATATCTAAAGATAGATAAGCCTTACCTATCCATTGACTGAGACAGAAATAAAAAAAGTTAAACAAGATATTAAGTAATCATTTGTTATCTCAATTTTACATCCACTTACTTGCTTGCATTTGGAATTTGCTGCATCACCATATATATTATAAGAATAAATGAAAGTTTTAGCAGACTTGTTTATCTGACCAAAGATTTCACAAGTTACATAGAGGAGAACATGACTAAAGACTGTGTGTACGCCATCCCATGAGGCTGCAGAAAGAAATATAAAGGGGAGACAGGCTGCCCCCTTAAGGTAAGGCTTCAAGAACACCAAAAAGCTGTAACATGAGGGGAAGTGGAAAAATCAGGCGTGGCTGTTCACATATGAAGAGAAAAGGGACATTACCAGCCTTTGTGGGATCAGGTTGAGATCATAGACAAAGAACACCATGGGAAAATTTGTAAACTTAAGGAATCAGCACATATGCTAGGCCATAAAAATCTCCTGAGCCGACCAAGCATAGAAATGAATACAATATGGGAACCAGTAATATGGAGTGCCAGAGAAAAGCGACAATGACAACAAAAATTGCAATATGGTAAAAAAATGATGCTGAAGACATTAGGTTTATAATACCCAGAAATTCATACAGATGTCCTCAAGGACACATGGCACAGTTGATAAAGGTGTTGGTTAGATGCAGTGACAGGTCCCAAAAAGTGTGAGTTTTATAAGGCAGAACTTGGAGAGGGGAATTAACAGGAGATAACTGACATCCATTAAAGATGGCATGTGGAACTAGAACAGTCTACCCCAGTGAGCGAAATAAAGGGTTCAGTTCGACATTCCAACGACATGAAAAAGGCTGGAGTGTACAACGGCTGAAATGTTGTAATAAACGTGGCAACAAAGATGAGGACAATAGTCCAAATAATGTAAATAGTGTACATAATACCTCATCTCAGAAATATAGACAGTTACAGTAACAACTAGTATCAAAATCACTTGCAATGCTTTTCCTATAGTAAAATCATTTTATGGATAATTTTTGAAAATGTCTTTCTATTTTAGTCAGATCATAAAAACAATTTCTAAAAATGTTAGCATACTTATTTATTCATTTAGAATTTTCCCAAAAGCTAGAATCCCCATTAAAATTCCATGAACATGATTCCTGAGAATTCAGCTGATACTAATCCCCAAAGAGAACTTTGCAAATTCTTTTGAAAAATAGAAGACCTACTGGGATAAGTGTGTGAGGTCCCAAGGGAAAACTTTGAACTGGACAATGGTGCTATTGCCCTAGGTAGGCATTTTCTTTCTCATTAATATTATATGAATGGTTGGATACTTTCTAAGCAGAAATTATATAAAAATGAAGAAAGGATCTTCAAGAGTTTAGTAGAATTATGCATTGATTGATTGATTTTGTTGTTTATGGCTTATCAACCTTTTGTGGATTATTTAAAGCTGGAACATATTTTAGATTGTAGAAATAACTTTTTTTTTTCTTTGAATACAGCTGATAGTTAAGATATTTCTGAACTATTTTAGTGCCATTCATGACAATCATATGAAAGTTTTGATCTGACAAATCTTTTTAAGAATATGATTTAGATTTTCAGGTTAATGTTCTGCTTTGTAGCAATTTAAGCTGTTGGGCAAAAGTACCCATGACACATCCTATTTTAATGTTCAATTTTGTTATTTCCTATACTAAATTTGTTATAACTAGTCCATAAACCAAGGTATTTGAAGTGTTTAATAGTTACTAATTTACTGAATTTTTATGACGAGTTTAAGGTAGATGCTATCACTGTTTTTATTGAAACAGTTTTTATTCTTGTTTCATTAGTGTTGTAACCTAGGAAGGGTTACCGAATGAGGAATAACGAAAATGGAGGTTGGAAATGAAATGGTAATCTTTATAACATCAACAAAATACAATACTCGCCAGCAGCATGAAGTAGGTCAACCACTGCTAGTGATGGACTACTTAGCATATTACCTCCACTAACAACAGTGTTCAACATATTTATGAGGATTGGGACATAGTGTTCATAGGTTTGCTATATAACAGAAACAGAGAAAAGAGTACTGAACTATTATGTAATATCAGTCCTCCTGGCAGTGAATGCTAGACAATCTATTCACAGCTGAAGAGACTTGAAGCAACAGAAATGTGGCACTACAGAAGGATTCTGAGAATATCATGAACTGAACATGCGAGCAACAATGATGTTTTAGAGAAAATGGAAATAAAGATACATACTTAACATCAGAAAAGGATAGTTGAAATTTATACAGCATATTATGAGGGCTTGGAAAATTTTACCCCCATAGGAGATATTGAAGACAAGAGGGAGACAGGGAAAAAAACACATAACCTACGAACTTGAGTAAATGGATAGATAACAAAAAGACAAATGAGTGCAAGAGGTTACTGAATGTTAGAATATAAGAAAAACGACTATTAAGGAAAGAGGACGATGAAATAAAAAGACGGAAGATAACAATTGATATTGCGTTTAAATTTTTAAAGATCAAAGTTGACTGGGAAGCAAAAAAGTCAAGAGTTCCACAGATGAAAAGTGCAGTAGAAGAAACTATTAGCATAGAACTTAGTTCCATCTTGCCATTTCAACTGTAAAATGATGATCTTGCTGCCAATCTAGTACTATGCTAAAATTCATAAAGTCTAGGTACTATAGAGGAAAGTTCATCAGAACAATTACCATGAAAGTATTTATAGAAAAGGCAGAGGGAAGCTCCCTTATGGCAGTGAGAAAGTGACTGAAGGCTAGATGCCATGTCAAGACCAATAACATTGCAGATTCTTTGAATTTATCAAAAATCTCTAAATATATAGCAGGAGCACCAGACCATATGTGGCAGCAATATTCAAAGTGTTGATGAATAATAAACTTATAAATATGTAATGTAGATTCTGGTGAGAAAAATTATCTTGCACTACACAGTGACCCAAATTTTCTAGCTGCAGACTTAGCAATTGATTCAATATACTCTTTCCGTTTCATGACAGCAGACAACGTTAGCCTACAAAGATGCAACAAATCATTCTACTGAAGGTTAACATCAACCATTCTGATGGAAGGCAGAAAGGGGTCTCTCAGATGACTGATAGAAAGCAGTTTTGTTTTGGAGGCATTAAAATTAACAAGCCGTTCATTGCCCCATTTAACAGTAGATTTTAGATCACTTTTGAGATCAGCTGCCAATTTGACCATATCAAACTGAGTAAATGAATGAATCTTCATCAATAATAACTTCATGAATCCTCCTCCTCCTTTTTATGAATCATGTCCTGAATGGACATGGTTGATCATAGCTCTCCACAATTTTCTATCCTTTATAGCTTTTAGTAAGGTTTGTCTTTTCACCACCCATACCAACCACTGTTCTGTCATCCATTTACACAAGTTCATTAGGTAGATTACTCACTGCTTTCCTCTTGCCTTCAATATATCCTGTGAGTGTTAGATTCTTCAAGCCCTCTTTCCTCATTGTGAGTTCTAGAAATTGTTACTATCTTCATTAATACCTCTTTGTTATTTATATCATTAGTATTCTCAGCATCCTTCTGTAGAACCACATCTTGGTTGCTTCAAATCTTTTTTTCATCTTGAGATTGTCAAACATTCACTGTTGTATAAGAGGACTGATATTATGTAACATTTCAGCACTTTTTCTAAAACATTTTCCTGTTTGTTAATACTTTGCTTAGCTTTTGGAAGATATGTTTTGCTATTCCAATGCCTCTTTGGATTTTGGCATCACATTTTTCATCCTCTGTTAAAACACTTCCCAGTTGCTAATTAGTAAATTCGATTTGAATCCTGAATGAATGATGCCTGTATTCTTGGAGAAAGTTTAACCATTAATTAATATCTGCTGATTTAACAAAAAACAATCATTTCACTCCATGCAAGACCATAAAGCCACTAACACACAAGGAGTTTCTGGGTATGAAAGAATAAGAAACAAGAAACATTATTAAGGAGCAAGAACAATAAATGGAGAGTAATCAAGAAGACAGTAGATAACGATTGACATTGCATTTAGATTTTTGAAGGTCAAAGTTGACAGGAAAGCAAGATGCTGGAAGAGAATTCCAATGAAACTAATTAACTATTCAAATGATAAAAAATAAAGGGAGGTAACTCTGTTATGGTATTGATGAACATTTTTTTAAAAGGTTCTATTGTTATTGGCAATAGGCTCATTGGGCTTAAATGTATCCCCGATTCTTTTAATATTTGTTGTTCTTTGTATCAATTAACAGTCATTATTTTTAGCTTCTCTCTAATTCTCAGATTGAAGTGCCTTTAATGTTCCCATAAATAAGACTTGAACAAGATAGATTTATTTATCTATGGCCACCCTTACATATACCTCCCAAACACAGTCTTGGCAGCCCCTCTTCAAATGCAGTTACCAGTTAGGACTCCTTTCTTGCAAAGTCTGACATTGCACTAATTTCTATTGAAGTGCTTTCACTATTCATCAACTTACTTATCTTGAATTTCTTCCCAGCATGCACTGTAAACTGATTTTATTTTAGAGGTGCCGAAGTTTTTGTGTCAACTTACTTCCCAACATGAGTATTTTAATAAGAACTAAAGATCTGAATACTTGATTTGGGGAAGTGAATTGTCCCAAGAACAATTCAGTGGCCCACCAACCCTGGTAGCTTTTGTCTTTCTCAAAACTTTACTATCTTGTTTTCTTACCCACCTTCTCTGTTTTTTGCAATCTGTCTCACTTTCTTTTTTTCTTTCCATTCTTTCTCTCTGTAATTCTTTCTTTCTCACTGTTTTTCTTTCCACTCCATTACATTTTCCCCTCTCTCAGTATGTTTGTTTCTTTCCCATTTCCTGGTATTTTTTTTTCTCTCTCTCTCTCTTTCTCTCTCTCTCTTTGAATTTTTTGTCCACCCCTCTCTGTATATTTGTTTTATTTCCCTTCTCTTTCTCTCAGTACTTTTCTCCCCCCCCCTCCTCTCTCTTGGCATGTTTTCTTTTCTCCACCCTCTCTCTCTTGGCATGTTTGTGTTTTTTCTCCGTTCTCTCTTCGACTTCTCTCACTTTTCTCTCTGATTTTTTTATTGTTTCTTTCCTCTCTCTCAACATGTTTCTTGCTCAGCATTTTCTTTCATTTTTCCTGCCTCCTTTTTTCTTTCCTCTCTTTATCTATTTTATTTATTTTCTCACTCTCGTTTTCTTCTCTCTCATCTCTTTCTTTCCTATCTTGAACTCCTCTTTTTTTCTGTCTTTACTCTTTCACCATTTTCTTATCTCTTTCTTTACCAATCTTAACCTCCCTGACTGTGTCTCTGTCTCTTTCATCCTCTCACTCTGTACAAAGATTATCTCCAACAGTCCCCATTGTTTTTCATTTTTATATTTCTTTTCCAAATGTATTATCATTCCTCCTCCTTAGATACATGTATCTGCCTTACACTGCCACCATTGCTTTCACCCTCTCTAAAATGACAAGCATGTTTGTCAACTTGCCCCACTTTTAAGAAACCCTTACATCTGCTTTAAATAATCATCAAACCCGAAAATTAACCATTCTCTGGGTTAGGTGTACAACAATTCATTGCCCTTTCTTTTTGAAAAATGAGCCACTGAATATGCAAGAGAATTTTTTTTTTTTTTTTTTTTAATAAATGAAAACTTTTACAAGACTGGATGCTGAAAATTTCTTGGCCAACCCATGTTCCCAAACCTGATCAAATATCGAATTTTTTGTGAATGCTTTCTTGGTTTGATGAGAACTTTTAAACAAACTCTTAGACATACGTACATATATACATACATACCACTTGTGTGCAGAAATGGGGGAGGAGGGTATGACTAGCATTCATGTTGGGTGGCTATCCAATCAGAGTGAAATAAAAAATTTAGTTTGTATTTAATTTGAATAAAGTATTTATTTTATGTTTCATCTGTTTTTACATATTTAAAATGTTTTCCTTTCACACATTTTTCAGTACTAGGCCCTATAGGCCTTCTACTTGAGTCTTACTCATACAATTAAGGAGTTGGCCCAGGCATCACCAAACATTACCAAACATCTGCATGTCACTGATCCATACATAATTATATGATAGGATAAAGAACAAATAGGAAACGTTTATCAATGTAACATGTTTCACTTTTTTAAAACTTCATTGTTCTTTATCTTAAACTGTCAGATCCCGATCCATATTTTTGATCTGTATTTGATCCCAATTCACACACACACACACACACACAGATGGATTGATGTGAGTTTGTGACCCTGGGTTTCATGCTATTTGCAATTATCAGACACAAAGCATGAAACCCAGGGTCGCAAACTCACACTAATCCAATTAAATATGTTTGCTCTATCACTGATATTGAGCACTTTCCAATAAGTACCATGCATATATAATATATATAATAAATTGCATATATTTATATACATACACATTTTATTTATATATATATATATATATATATATGCGGCTACACATCTTCTGACCACACCTGTATGCTAGGGTGGCTAGGAAATTCCTGTTGCTCAGGCACATTTGTATTTGTTTAACACCCACAGAGCCCACCTGTGGCTTATACTGTATGCTAAGTGGACCTTAGTTACAGTTTTTGAGAGAGGGCGCATAATTTGGTATGATCAGCAATTTGAACAACACCAGTACACTTCAATCCTCAGTCACGATGACTTTGTGCTGCACGCTGAGATTGCCTCCCCAAACCAATAAACTCGAAAAGTCACTTTCCTGACAAATTGACTATAGTGAGATTCAGGAGTGGCTCTCATCGCAAAATTAACACTTTAACTGCTCGGCTATGCACCCATATATAGTCTGATTTGCTACCTTTTCATCACTGAGGCCCGTTGGAACAGTTGGTATGACGTTTGCCTGATAATGTAACTGTCCGTGTTTCAATTCTCAGCAGTGGATGCACACTGCTGATGAGTCCCAAATATAGGATGAAACGGGCGTCCAGTGCTTTCTGCATTCTGTTGAGGTTTCTTCTAGACTTGACGAATTACTTAATTATAATTATCTCTAATCCTCCTAATTTCTATCCTATATATATATATAATATATATATATATATTATATGATGATTGTGTTGCCATTTCAAATATTGGTGCATATGAAACTTTGGTGGTATGAAGTTTTTCGATAAGTACTTTTTAATATATTGCTCTGTTCATCATTTTCCTTGTTCATAGAACATGGTATTGTAACCTCGCTATATTTGTTTGAGATGTCTGTGTGTGAATTACAAATGGGAATAATTTCTGTTATTATCCACAAAAAAAGAATGTGAGAAATGCTGATACATGTATGTTTATTTTTAAATTTTAATTTTAAAATTTTTGCTGCCCACTGTATCTACCTTATTCAGCTTTTTACCACTTTCACTTTTTATAAGTCCTTTCAAAGGGCAAAACACATTATACATTTTCCATTCTTTCGTTCAGTTACACACACACACACATATATTATACATATGTCAAAAGTTATTTTTAGTGGATGCTTGTGTTTGTATAGGAAACTCAACAAAGAAAATACTGTCCTGGGTATGATGATAAACTGCATCTGTGTCCTGGGTAAGACAATAAACTCTGTCTAACAGCAAGGTCTCTGATCAGGAGGTTTTGAAAAACATGGAACCATCTCTTAATTGCTGGTGTTCCCAGGGTGGTAGCACCTGTTAGGGGTCCCATCTATGGGTAAATAGTTAAAACCTCCCCCCGCCCAAACTGGGGTCAAAACACTATGAAAATGTAAAAATAGGTTTTAATACCAGAAATACTTTGTAAAAAAAAATCATTACTAGCAAGAAGTTTTTGAAGAAAATTTATTACCAGCTATACATTTTTGCAAAAAAAAAAAAAAAAAAATTACCAGCAATGTCTTGTCAGCATTAAATAACCCATTGAGGTTGATATGCCGTAAAACAAACAAACAAACAGAATGTACCCTCTGGCAGGATTTAATTTGATTCTACTCTACACCCCCTGCCCCCTTCATAGGAGGAGTTTTCTTGAATATGTGGACCAGTAGATGAAATAAACACAGTTTAAAAAATTGGGTGTTCTACTTAAATATGGGTATACATGAAAATATAATGTTATCTCCATTAATTCTTTTGATCTTGAGAAATCTGAACGAGTGTGTGAGGGCTTTAAAGGCAAATAGAACCATGCTTGATTGTGAAGCTCTTTGTAACTGAGCAGTTAAAGCACACTGGATCAGATGATGGATCCACCTACAAAGGGGACGCAGGTTCAAATGTTACCCAAGGGCACATTTTTAAGTTTTCTCAATTACTGCTCAGACTGGTAGTTGAAATAAACACAGTTTAAAATAAAAATAGGGTGTTCTATTGAAATACAGGCATCCACTAAAAAATAACATTTGTAAAAATAAATATATATTGGATTAAAAATGAAAATCCATCTTGTAATGTTGTCTTTGTCCAAAATAGCCACAAATTAGGAAGGCTGTAATTAGAGACTATTGAAGGAACAGAAGATTAGGTATGGAAAACAAAGTGGTTTATTAAATACTCATACATAGAATGGAAAAACTTTAGTAAATCAGATACAACTCAAGTCCTGCTCTAAGGTGGCTACTTGCCATATTTATAAGTAGGAACAGTTCATTTTCACAGTAGGAGGAAATAACAGGAAGTACACCAAGTCCTACTCTATAATACATCTGAAGCTTCATAGTTTGGGAAATGCAAAGAAATAAAATGTCTTTTTTTTTTTTTCCAATTTCATCCCATGCAAGCTGGTAAAGCCACTAAGACACAAGGGGTTACTGGGAGTGAAAAAAACTGGGGAAAGTTATGGAAAAGAGAGGACAATAAAAGGCCAAGATGGAAAATGATGATTGACATTGCATTTAAATTTTTGAGGATCAGAGTTGACTGAAAAAATCGGAAAAGCATTCCAGAAGTAAGAAATGTGAGAGAAGATACTGTTAGCATAGTACTTGTGTGTACTTGTGTTTTTTTTGGCTAACAGACCCTGACCCAACTATCATGTACTTGTCAGATATCTGTTTGTTGATTACAGGTAATTCCAGTTTAACAAGCTTACCTGTTTTTTAAGACTGCATTTTGTCTCTCATTTCTGATTGGATGAATTTTTTTTGTTCTATTTACCAATGATAAATACTTACTATCATGCCCCAATTTATCAGTAAACCTGTTGTATGTTGGATTTTACTGATCCCTTATTTTGGATGTGTATGTCGTGTAATGGTCATGGGTATGTAAAGTGGAATTGATGAGCAGGGTTCAAATTCACATCAAGTCTGTTGCATTCACTTTCACACAAATAGGAAAGGTATGAATTCAGTTCTTCTATCCATAGCTGTAGAGTAATTGTCCATGCTTAAATGTAATTGGCAGAGATGCCAAATAAACAGAATTGACAAAGTTCAAATTCAGGCCTAATCTGTTGCATTCACTTTCACACTATTATTTTTAGGGAAGGCATACTGGACTCTTGAGCTTTTGGTGGCAGCCAAACTAAGGACAACCTTCAATTCAAAGCTGTTAAGAATGACAAGAAACTGTTTCACTATCCTTTTCTAGAATTGATGTCAATTCACAGATAATAAAGAAAGCAAATTATTTGGAACGACATGGATCACCTACATTCTGAAGAGACATAGCAGTTTAAAAGAAGACTCTTTATTTCATTGCTGGATTTTCTCAATAGAATAAGTTGGTTTATTTACATTATTCAGACTGTTGTCCTCATCTTTATTGCCATATTCACACGTTCAGACCTTCTTCAGGCGATTGAAATTTTGAAGTGAACCCTTTATTTTGTCCACCTGGGTAGATTGTTCTAGTTCCACATGCCATGTCTTTTTCAGATCTCCCCTTAACTCAAGTCTCCAAGTTTTTGTTCACCACTGCCATAGCCAGGTACTGAACTAACAACTCTTTGGGTCAAGTCACTGGATCCAACCAATGTTTTTATCCACCAAGTGGTGAACAAAAACTTGAAGAGTTAAGTTAAAGGAAGATAACTGAGACATCTGGAAGAGGCATGGCACATGGAACTAGAACAGTATAACTGGTTCAGTTCAAAATTCCCATCACCGGAAGAAGGCTGGAGTGTCCAACAGCTGAAATATCCTGAATATGGCAATAAAGATGAAGAGAACAAACCGAACAATGTAAATAGTGTAAATAATTACAATAACTCATCTCGGAAATATAGACAGATATAAGTTGGTTTGTTTTGTGATTTTGAGATGAACATTCTTATTCCACAAAGAATTTTTCAAACGACTATTCCATTTTTTTTTTTTTTTTCTGATAATGTCTTTTATAGTTTTCTCCAGGTGTATAATACTTCTAAAATTTTAAAAACTATTATCTTTCTAGGGTCTCCTAGTATAGAGGTATGGG